TTTGAAGGCTTCTTGGCTCTAAACCACAGTTAGCCTGCACTGCTTCACTCTGTAGTAGTGACTACGGAGTGGATTGCCTGGTTCCAGAAAATCAAGGAGACTGCTGCTGCTAAATATTTTCTTTTTTTTTCATTCCCCCTCATTTTTCCAGTTTGCCTCCCAAACTCACCGGGCTTACTGAAAAGTTGGGAACACCAGAAACACAGCAAGTGTATCTCTTATTTTTATGTATCTCTGCAATGTATCTCTCAGCATTCCCTCTTCTGAAGAGGGAAACTGGCTTCTTCTCATAACAGGGATCTGGTTGCAGTAACCAAACAGGGTATGTGCATTTTATCATGGGGGTTTATGACCACTGGATTTCAGTGGTCAGTATTGTTATCTTAAAAGTGCTGCTTGTACTTATCAGAGATGAACACGATCATGCTGATATTACTAAGAGTATTTCTCTATTTCTATGAAAGGGATTGTGGGTATTTTCTAAAGAGTCTTTTTGGGTTCTGGTTTGGTTTTGCCTTCTCCTTTTAGAAATAATTGTTTTCTTGCTCTGTATGTGCCAGCTTGAGCAGTCCTGTGGCCGAGTAATCAGGTAAACTCTGCAGCCTGTAGAGCTGGGGGATGCAATTCCCACAGCTCATGGTAGGTCAGGTAAAATATGTACATGCATTAATGTGATTGTTTATGCATGTTGGATTGAGTATTTGTTCACTAACAGAATACTCCTGAAAAGAGTTGGAGAGCAAGTGAGCAGCTTGCGTAGTTTCTTTACTTTTTTCAAGGAAAGTGCTCAAAAATCTTCAGTGTTTGTATCCCTTGGTGAGTTGTGAATAAACTGTGCTTTGTATTACACATGCCTGCTTACTGGCAGGTTTATTTATTTTTAATGTAGACTGCAGCCTGAAAACTGCAGCCATAGAAAAACTGATATGTATTAAAAAAAGTTAGAAAACCTACTCAAAATGGAGCTCCTGCAACAGCTCTCCCAATACTGTAGTAATTCAGCTTATGCAGCCAATGGTGGTAGGCTTTCACTTGTGTCTGATCATCTTGCCTAAGATGAACAAGGAAGCGCGATGTTACTGGAGGAGTGCACCTCAAGCTCATCTCACACACGGTGCTTTGTTCTGAACCGTCGTCTTGACACGGTTCTGGGCCGTGTGGGCAGGTGCTGTGCAGGGTGTCTGTGCAGCGCTCCGCTGTGCTGTGTAGATGTGAGCCTGTGTCCCTGCACCATTGGGCTTCTCAGTCCTCTACTGCAGCTGTGGTTGCCATCAGACAAATACGGTACTTCAGTGTCCCAGAAGTCTTAAATGTGCCTTCTAAAAACTTAGCATGCTTTATACAGTAATAAGCAGCAGTCCTTAAGGGAAAGCTGCACAGTGGTAAAGCTACTGCTTCTGAAGAATTAGTTTACCCTTCCAGTAAAAGTGTCCTAATGGTCCATATGTCGCCTTGGTGAGAACACAGAAGGAACACCAGAGAGCAAACTTGAGCTCAGAACTGGGTTTTGAGGTGCTTAGGACCAGCCACGGAAACCATAGCCTTGGAATGTACTTTTCTTACAGCAAAAAACCAAATACAGGAATTTAACTGTGTGGATATATTTTATATTTGTATATGTTAATTCTCTTTAATAAAACACTGCTAAAGAACAGAGTAGTTAGAGCTCTTATTTTAGGTTTCCTTGTTCTACTCTGGATACAAAGGCACATTAGGTTGACTACGATAGGGCATGTATATTCCATTTAAAATAATGTGAGCACACATTTAAATGGGGAAGAGGAGTGGATGTGGATGAAATCAAGGATTAACTACAGAGTTTTAATTAACAATTGGATTAAAGCTCAAAGCAGTATCACTTTAATGTGGACATTTTGCAACAGACATTTATCCTAGCTTAGAACGTGTTTCCGTTTCTGTTACATGAATAAGTATATTGTTTAGAAAGCATCGTTTTAGATCGTTTCCTGTCTTTAAAAATTGTAATATTCCTCCTCCTGAGGAAATGGCTGCTGTGGATCTCAGGCTCTGAGTAAGACGTGGTCACCCAGCTGTGCTACTGCAATCTTGAGGCAGAAGCATCCCTTTGACAGACTGCTAAGTTAAATGGTGTACAACATGTAAGTTGGAGGAAGAGAAAATTCACTGTTCCCTTCCCACAGCTGATCATGTCACTTCTGCTTGGCACAAGGGACTGCTAAAACAAGGATGACTGAGAAGGCAGTTGTGGCAAAAGAAATCCCACAAGAAGTGGTGGACTAACCTTTGTTCTCAAAATGATGGAGCACAAAGCAGGGTATGCTAGTATCCAGCTTGCCCACCTTCTGAGCCCAGCCTTCTCTTCAGCACAGTGATGCAGTCCTCCTTGTAGTGTTCCTCTGGAGGTCAGTGCGCCTAACAACCATCCCTGGATCACTTGAGTTTCATACCTGTTGCTTTGATCCATGTTGCACTATAAAAATAGTTCTTGGGTTGCTACACCCGACTACTGCTCTTGTCCTCTGAGAAGAAATAATGGACTTCTTCAGACTTAGAAAATTGCAGGGTATGGTCTCTGTGAGAATTTCAGTATACAGGCAGCAGCTGTTTTCAGGTAATCATACATGAGCTGGAAGCATGTACCTCTCCCTCTTGTCCTCTGCTTCAGTGACTCCTGAGGAAAACGAGGCACTGAAATACTTGCACTACATTCTAAAACAGCTGCACAGGTTAGCATCTTCAGTAACTGTTGGACAAAACTACTTGTTAAATGCACCCACTAATCTCTTCTTGGATGATTTCACAAAGGTATGTGTAGTTGAAGAAGGTGATTTGAAAAGCAGCTGTAAAAGGTACTTCATGTAAAGATGCATCGTGCCCACAAATAAATTTTAAAGTTAGGCAAATAATTAGACTTTAAGCAAAGTTTGCGTGCCAGAAACCTGAATCTCCTTGTCTTAGAAATTGCACAGAGGTTGGTAAAATACAGTCCTCGGTCTATGTCAAAAAGACTCTCTCCCCCTATACCCCCAACAGTGTGTGGTGGCTGCATCCAGAATGTGGCCTGGCTTTGCAGTGCTTTGCGCTACAATGGCCAAGGTCTTAGTGTTGGGGGCAGAAGGCAGAACCTCTCGTGTAGGCATGAGCTTGGCAGAATGCTAATATTTCAAAAATGCCAAAGCATGCTCTCCAGTTAGCCCTTGCAGTAGCCCCACAGCTGAGCTCAGTGTGTCTGTGCTCTAAAGTCAGGTTATAAACGGTGCTGTACAGGAAGCCTCCCAAATAGCTGGTAAGAAATGCTTGGTGCGGGCAGCATTTGGTCTCTTTCTCCTTGATGTGTCACGCATGTATTCAGAGCTGAACATTAGGTGTCTCTGTTCACTAAAAATCGGGACCACAGAGACATACCTGCCCACTCAAGAGCTTGTCTGCCATCATCTGCACACAGCAAGTGTGGGCAGGAATCGGAGAGCTGAGCTCCTGGCCCATGGAGGGGACCCAGACCCTTCCGTTGCCTGCTGAGCCAGGAGGAGACAAGCAGGGCCTCAGCAGTTTTCACACACTGGAGGGGGCTGCCCTGAAACCGCCGTCCTCACTCCCTAGACTGAGGTATTGCGCCTTCACATGATCAAAATGATGATCCAAAATCACGATCTGGATCTAGTCTCTCCTCCAGAGGCACAGACCAGGACCTGCTTTACTTTTTTCATTACTAGGGCAAAGGTATGCCTGTGTTGTACGGCATACAGTGGCCGCCTTTGCTAGACATAGAAGACAGCAGCCGATTTCACTAATGTTTTGGTTCAAGGCTGTACCCAAGCCGAACTAGGTTTGTTGAGAGGGCAGGTGATTCGCAGTGCTAGTATACCCAGAGAGCTTCCAGGGCTCCAGCTGGTGTCTCTTCTGCTGTGCTTGGTAGAGATGCCATATGCAAAATGTGCAGGCATGCTGTAACCTATAAATCACTGATGAAAGCTTTGATCTGGTTATAGGTTAAATTGAAGATGTGTTTAAGTGAGAACTGGACCAGACCCCTAGAGCTCTCGCTCTACCAATTACGAGACTGCAGTAAGATAAAATGGCACTGCTACAGTTCAGATGCTTCGATCCTGTTAACACCCCTGCATTCATGTTACAATCTAACTGCTGATGATCATACTTGTTTTTCTGAACAAGGCTCTTTTGAGCAAACATAAGAGCAGAAAACAAAGTAGACACACCACAATAAAACCTCTGAAACCATTCTCCCTTTTCATCTGTGAGGGAGTGGATCCAAGAGTCTTACTGTTCTGCATTTATTCAATGCTAGCAGAACAGTCTTGCATAGAACTCGCCAGCAGGAGTTCATGGCACTTCTGTAAGAGGCCAACAGTCCCCACCACCACTACAAAGCAGTCTTTCTGGAACAACATCTGAAGCCATTCCAGGGATACCGTAATAAAATTTACAATGGATTTGTAACATCAGAAACAATAATTTATAGGAAGTCACAGATAAACTACAAGTATTAACAGGTAAAATACAAACATTAACAAACACTAACTTACATGGGGTGTAATCAATTTATAATGGGTGCGCATACCCGCACAACCTTGTCAGAGCACTGGATAAACTACTTAGTAGCACCACTTCTCTGCAAATTACACAGGGTGGTATTTAGTGATTTAAAACTGACTGGATGCCATTACGTTCAATGTAACATTAAAATAGTGAAATAGTCTCATGAGCTACAGTTTTACTGGGCCAAGTTCTGCCCCCATTTATACAAAATTCAGTAATGCAATCAAGAGCAGAATCTGTCCCTTCATCTTTTTAAAATTAGAAATTGAATTTAGAGCCTAAGGCCTAATCTAAATTTGATAGAAAATGCTTGTACTAGATATTCTCAAGCTCAAGCCCAATATTGGCTACATGATCCAAAGTAACTAACCTGTAGAAAAATGATCAACAACACATGCAGGAATTTAAACCAGTACTGCTTGATAACCTTTAGAGGTCTCTTCAGAAATCCATTTTTAACTTCAGTACTTGCTGCCTTTCAGCTCCAAGAACTTTATACATTCCAAAGCAGTGTCTTCAATGGATTTTGATGAGCCAGTAAGATTTGCAGCTAAGTAAGGCATAACACCTGATGTCACTTGATTGAAGTAACACACCTGTTTAAACAAAAACAAATGAAACAAAAAAGCTTACAGATTGCAATAGTTAGCTGTTTTTTGCAGAGCCTAGATGAGTATCAAAGTTTTCATGGATGCAAATAGAAACACATAGTGTTTGTGAAACTGAAGGCAATAATTAGCAAAAAGAGCATGCCTTTTTTACAGTACTTTAGTGATCTCAGTGTCCTCACTACTGCCAGGTCCTCAAGCAGCTGTAGGTAAATGTACACAGCAGTGCAGCAAGAAACATCACGTGTAACCTGTTAAATATATGTGCTTTATGAACAAAGCTGTTGCCTGAAAAAAGAATCCCAGCCACCAAGAGTTGCTGAATGTTTTCAGAACTGTATTTTCTTAATTATATCCTTCCCATGGAAAAGAACAAAAGAGGAACATTGTCATTGGTCCAGAGATGGGATTCAGATTGCATAATTTCTGACATATGAAAGTTAAAGTTAAGCTTTTAATCTGAACTAATTCCTTGGACTTCCTCTGTAGTCAGTGAAGAGAGATGGACACCACCAGAGACCAGTTTAATGCACACCTTCTAGAAGTGTATTTCAGAATTGAATGAATGACTCTCTGGAGGTGCCTGGCCATCTCCAGTGCTTAGTTTAGATTTCATTCCTAACATTCAGATTGGTCAAACTTGGGCAAGACAGATTCCACTTTGTGGAGTAAAGAATGTCTTAATCACCACACTGAACTCTGGGGAAACTGACTTTTTTGTTGTATTGCTGTTACTGTTCTAGAGTGTCAGCTCAAATGAGATTACAGGCACATGTAATACTACAGGAAAGGAGACACAGCTGAGGTCTGCAGAACTACTCACCGTACAGGAGCTGTTGCTGTCACCATAGATCTGGAATCCGGCACAAAGGATTTCACTTCTGCAGTATTCTGAAGAAGGTGGCATAGACATGAGGGTAACTGACTTTACAGCTACTATGTAGGGTTCACTGCAGGGCAAGGGGAAGAATCAAACATTTCTTCAACAAGATGTTAAAAAAGATACATGTAAATGACTACAGAGTATACACAGCAATACCAAAGATGTCATTTTCATATGAAGGCAAAAAAGCCCCTGTATGTTTAAAGATACATGTTAAAAGATTCAGCTCTCTTGAGTCTCATTAAGGCTTTGTCGCAGACTCCACTCAAGAAGACTTCTGTGGAAGGCCACAGAACAATCACCCACATACATGACCTCCTTTTTTTAATTTATCCTGCTCTCCATGACCCATGTTTACAGAAATAGGGTCCAGGAGCAACCCTTACTAAGAGGTTTTACAGTGTGCCCCAGCAAAGGTAGACATGATTCAATTCCCAGATGTGGGGAGAAAAAAGCAAGCACAGTACAGAATACTGCCTTTTAGAAGCAATGTTCTGTTAACAAGAAGAATTACCAAATATAAGAAAAGAAATTGAGAATAAAGAATGATAAGATATGCCAAATGGTCCCATTTATCCATGTTTCATTATGCAAGAACAAAAGGAAATCTAATTAAAAAAAATCAATGTATGTTAAACTGATCAAGGGACTTTTTAAACCAAATTCAGCAGCAAAATTTACCAACAGAATAAATCTGTCACACTGAGGTTTCAAGAAAGGCCAAGCACTCCCTTCAATAAGACTATCTCCAGATTTACATTAAATGGGATTACAAAAAGGCACTTAAAGCCAACAAACAGACAACTCCCAGTTATGCGCCTCAGCATATTGACAGGCCCTCTGGGACATATTTTTTTCCAAATTGCCTGTTTGGAACTCTGGCCTATATTCCCTCACGACAGATCACTCCTGAAGAGTCACTATCAAAGAAGCAATACTGGACTACGCTACAAATTCTTCATGCTCTGAATTTACTTAATTGCACCTTCACATTGCAAAACAAATCTGGTTGTGCAAACTCAGGCATCAACACCTGTATTTTAAATCGGGTACTAATCTAATTTCTTAAAAAATAGAATATCATCTCTGTCACGCAATGACATGCCCAGATAAAAGTCAACAGTAATCAAAACTGCAGCTCCAAAGTGGTCACAGTTAAACTTGAAATTGCATACTCACCTTGGCTTACAGGGTTGCCTTTGAGACACAAGAATCACAAAGTCTCTGGGTTTATGGTCAGTCATGGGTGGAGACGTAACATAATATATTTTCTCATCTTCATTCACAGCCTGTAGGACCTCACAAGTTCTGCAAATACATTTAACACACATATGCAGACCCTGATGTATGCAACAGCAACTTCTATGAAAAACACAGTACAAACATATATTCCATCCTAACATTAAGCCTACAATTTTCATGTTCAGGCAGCAAGGAAGAGAGAGGAACACAGAGTGAAAAATCAAGGTTTTCTGCAACACCTCTCTGTCCCATAAAATTTTTAAAAAGTCCTGCAAGGTGCTGGAGCAATGTCTTAAAAGCATATCTTTTGCATACTGTCGATTCCTGTTTGGAATGACATTAGCTTGCAAGCTGTAATACTTGCTGAATGACCAAACATTGTCCATCCAACACACCACAGGAAAGACACTCAGGAAGCATTTGTAAAATTTTATTCAAAGTTGTGTTCTACTCTGTTCAGATGGGACCACCTGGATAGGACACACTCTTTAACTGTCTTGGAAGTACTGATCACTATCTCTGAGTTTTCACTACAAAAAAAAGTCAGAATTTTTCTATACACTAGCAGTAATTGATTTATTTAATTTAAGTTTCTACTGCCTTAGCAATAAGCACTGCTAAGCCGGTATTCCATTTTGACCAGTCCATCAGGCTTCATGGTAGTCATAAGAAAGCTGAGATTTTGGGCTGTAGAAATAGAAAATCAACATAGTATTTCTTCAGATTTCATTTGTTACAAGCCATAAATTCAGCAGAGAGTGTAAATTTTCAAATATCCCTAAGCTTTCCCTTTCACCCTCTGATAAAAATCTTTCAGGATAGAATGACTAATTGAAAAAAGCTTCTCCTTTAAGAGAATATTCACCAAATCAAATTAGTATATCAACTCAATTGTCTCTAATCATTATTCTATGCAAGGTAAATAAAAAAACCCTCAAACACCTTTTACAGCAATTCTGAAACCCATTCCAATTCAGATACACTCTATAAGAGGTTATTTTTCTTAAAATATGCATTTTGAAGAATGCCATTTCCTGATTTCTCACTTTGACTGTATGATGAAGCTGAGCATCAGTGTCCTAAAAAACAGAGACATGAAGGAGGCCACAGCTTTGCCTTACTTCTTACAGAGAGCATGCACAATATACCCACCTCAGCTTATATGCCACTTACTGAAGTTAAACCTTTTAACATACACACGTCTAGGCATGGAATTGTGTTCATTTTAGAAAAGGGTAACCTCTGTCCCAGCTCTCTCTTCTGACAGTCAAGGGCAACTGTATTTTAAAATCAGACTAAGGAGAAATTAAATTTTATTTTTAAGGTAAAATACTCAATCCATACTTTGACTAATGAATCTTTAATGTCAACTTCTTACAGCAATTTCTTCTTAATTAGGTGGAAAAGTGTCAACATCTCAAAAAATATTTGTATGAGAAAAGGTTAGTTGTCAGTGGATTCAAACAGTCTTAACAAAAGGTAAGTTCTTACAAGAAATGTTTGTCCCATTGTTGGCGGAATGTGAAGTCAGACAAAAGGAAGAAAGCTAGGTGTGATGGTATCTGCACTTGCATTTCAACTTTGAGTGACAACACATCACCCTCCTCATGAGTCCATATTTTTATCTGAAAAAAGTGAACAACATATTAAAAACAAAGAATGATTATTATAAATATTTTAACACTTATAAATGTTACACGTTTAGGACTTAAGCAGATTTTCTCAGGAGTACCTATGAAACTATATCTGACAGATGAAAGGCAGATAAGTATTCAAGATTAGTTTTACATTAAAATCCAGCACAATGTAAAATAAAGTACACTGATAGCATAGCGACATCACACAGTTTTAATTACATCTGGTTAGGGATAGCTGAATTAGCTTGCAAGTGGAACTGAATGAGCTAGAGGCCACTATGACCTCTTTCTCACACTATGCATACATAGTCTCTAAATACTCTTCACTCTACAGGTGCCTTGGAAAAAACCTGAGTTATTTTACTGTATTTTCTTCTGTCAGGACCACGTCGATGTCATCACTTTCATAAACAACAGCAGATCCACTTAGGAATGAAGGTAAAAGCCTCTTCTCAGCCTTTCTATAGAAAGTCTTCTCCTACAGGGCTCAGTTCACTAACTCCAAAAGGTAATGGGGCAACCTGAGGACCTCAAGCAGTTCTTTTTGTGAATTTGGCATAGTAATTGTTGACAGGAGACTGGACTTTTTAGACCTGGGCATGTTGGTACCAGTCCAGAATTCTGCCATTTTCATTACCTGGCCCTTGAGCCAGGTCGAGTTACAGAAATACAGCATAAATATGGGAGAGCAAGGAAAGGTAACATACAATTTATTAGGAAGGAAAGGAAGAAACTTTATTAAGGTAGGTTTAGGTAAAGTATCTAAAGGTGATGGTTACCTAAATCTTTCCAGAAATTTGAAACTACAGAGTAGAATCCATTGGATGTGGCACTGGTGAGCAGAAGCAAGCTGGAGTGAGGCCACACTAGATGAGACAAGCATCCCTGCAGTATGTGTGAGACTTCATCAAAATAAGACAAACCAAGCAACTGCCCTCCCTGCCATCTGGATTTTGGAATATATCCAGCAATCCTGCAAATTGCAGCTTTGGGGAGCTTATCTGGAGACATCCAAAGGAGACCAGATTTTTACAAAAGCACTTTCCAAGCTTTAAGAGGGATCCTTGATCCACCTCTCCAATCTATGCAGTCCAGTAGCTTGTCTTTTATTAGTAATTAGTAAAGTTCAACTACTTCAGCTCCCTTCCTCCATGCAAATCAGTCACACATTGGCCCATACCCCCTTCCCCTAAAATGACTCAACATTTGTTTTTCCAAAATATCTTTTTTTTCCTCCTCTATTCTTTACCGTGAAGCAAAGCACCTGGAGTTAATGATATATTGAAAAACTATTTCAAAACATAGTTTTGACTCTCTTGTCCCACATTTGCAGTATATTGTCTTGATTATTTTGGGTCTATTTCTAGCCATAGGCCTAAATTCTAACATAGAGAATTCAAAACTAATAACCTGCACGTAACAATGTATATACAATGCTTGCAAAAGAAGGGCTTGCATGTTCCATAAACCCTGTATAATGGAAGAAGATGGGTAGAAGAGAGTGCTTAGAATTAGTGGACTTTATTCCCAAATTTTAATCTGATGTGCTAAATTGCTTCTCAAATCCTAGAAAGGTTTAACAGATTTTCATTTCTAAGTGATACAAAATTCATAAGCTTCATCATCTCTGTTGTTTTTTTCCTATATCAATAATTAACAATATTTTAGTTAACGAAGCATTTGTGCAACAACACAGATTTTGTATGGTTTTGTATTTTCATGTTTTGAAATAGGAAAAAAACCCCAACATAATCCAGCAAGCATCTTGCTGAAGTAAAGTTTGGCATAAAACAAAAGGCCTAAGAGCTTTAGAAACCAGCTACAGGATGCATGGATCAATATTGTTCTAAGGCATAGAAAAGAAATCATGTTGTCTTAGGAGTCTTTGAGACTTGAAAAATCACAAAACAAGGTAGGAGGTGCAGCTGTTAAAACATGTCTCTGCTAAATGAACATTGGCAAGGCTAGATTATTACTATAAGCCTACAAGTCTTGTGGTTCTATGTCAAAGAGCTCACAGTGCCACTTTCTACCTTCAAAAACTGTCAATCAGCTTGGGGTCATTCTAGTTCCAAGGGAAAAGGGAACAAATCCTGTGCATACAGAGAAGCACATGCTGCTTTGCAAAACCTACTTATTAGAATATTTCATCCCAAAATACAGTTCAGTCTAATGTTTTTGACAGTCTCCTTTCTATAGTATGACTGCTTTCAGGCAGAGCACCGATCAGCACTACTACCTGATTCTTATTTGTTCTTTCAGCCTCTCCCCAAGAAACCATTTCATGGACACTGAAGAGATCTGTTTGACTGGAGATGCTGCTATCAGTGTCTATCAGAGAAGGCTAAGTAGTTGTTCTGTGTCTACGCCACTGTATACCCTAAGTACAAGGATCAAGACCTTGTGTATGAGTGCAGAAACATTAAGACCAGTATGATGTGCATGTGCTGGCCTGCAGTGCTTAGAGAAAGATGATGTCATGTTCTGAGCTAGATACAGTTTCTTAAGGGATACTCTCTTGTGCTCACATTTGCAAAACTGACAAAAGTGAGCGTGTAACAGTGACAAGTGAACCAAACTAACATTTGCCAAGACACTAAGTTTCATGAACTGGAGCTGGCAGAAAGCCTTCCTTGGAGCTGCATCTATACCAGCATTTAGGCACTTGAGTGCACATCTAAATTTGACAGGAGGAGCTGTATGGGTAAAGTCCAAGATAGGTTTCATTCTCACTTTCTTTACCAAAGAGCAAATCTGATCCACCTAGTGCATTAATTTAGAGGTAAGCATACAGTCACATATGGTGACAAATGTACCCTCTGCCTACTGCTGACATCCACACTTTGTCAGCAGTCTACTTTGTGCCTGCAAGTAAATACTATATAAGCAAGAAGACTTCCTAATGGAATAAATAGGACACAACAACTGAAGCAGCCTACAATCCTAAGTATGGTTTGCTATCACTGTTCACTGCATACATCCTTCCCTGCCACTTCTTTAAGGAATATCTAATGATTAACAATGCCAGATAATGCAGAAATGTCCAGAACAATGGCTACTCTCCACCCATTGACAGCATCAGTGTGATTTGCGTCCCACATCCTGCCTGAGATTTTGCTGGATTTCAGATACCTACTTCAATTAGGTGAAAGAACAGCTAGAAAAAGCTACTCAAGATTTTCTACCAGATAAGGCCTAAATGGCTTAGAGACAGATCTTACTATCAAGACTATTTTAAGATATCCAAAAAGGGGAAAAAGTTCCAGACTCCAGTAATACTGGAAGGTACCTGGTGGCTTGCTGAGGGAGAGAAATAACATCATGCTGGTTTAAAATGTCATCCAGAAAGTGCATGGGTTTTGTTTCTTTGTATGAAGTAATTTCTTCACAACATTTGGTGCTGGTTCTATTACAGGTTTCAAGCAGGGAGGTGGTTGTTCCCCTGTACTCGGCACTGCTGAGGCCGCACCTCGAGTCCTGTGTTCAGTTTTGGGCCCCTCACTACAGGAAAGACATTGAATTGCTGGAGCGTGTCCAGAGAAGGGCAACGAAGCTGGTGAGGGGGCTGGAGCACGAGTCTTATGAGGAGCGGCTGAGGGAGCTGGGGCTGTTTAGTCTAGAAAAGAGGAGGCTGAGGGGCGACCTGATCGCTCTCTACAACTACCTAAAGGGGGGTTGTAGTGAGGTGGGTGCTGGTCTCTTCTGTCAGGTGGCTGGAGACAGGACAAGAGGAAATGGCCTAAAGTTGAGGCAAGGGAGATTTAGGTTGGATATTAGGAAAAATTTTGTTACTGAGAGGGTTGTCAAACATTGGAATGTGCTGCCCAGGGAAGAGGTTGAGTCACCTTCCCTGGAGATATTCAAAAAGCGAGTGGACAGGGTACTACAGGACATGGTTTAGTGGGCATGGTTTATGGTTAGACTCGATGATCTTGAAGGTCTTTTCCAACCTAAACGATTCTATGATTCTATGATTTAGGGTTAAGAAAGAAACTGAGATTGTGGCAGTCCCAGTGGATGCAGAAAGGAAGTTTCACATGGATAATAATACAGTTTTAGCAGAGGCTTGAAAATAACACTTGACGTTTCAGTCTGATTGTTCAAGCTTGCTTTCTCCAGCATAAGTGCTGTCTGTCATTTATTTGGCACAGCAGTGTTTACTGTAAGTTATTAACCACTGGAACAACCTACACATGGAACTGGAAGATATGCCATCACTGGAATTCCTTACGATTTATATATTGTCTTACTCAAGTAGCTTATTGACTAGATGCAAGAATCAGTAAGTGAAGTTTCATAGTCTGTGACATGCAGGAGATCAGACTAAAAGATTGTAACAATCTTTTCTTGTCCCAAAATATCTCTGAATCTACATGATCTTAAAGTAATCTGCCACTCACTAACCATATTTCGGAAACCAAACCTTAACAGATCTCTCTCAATAGTTTGGAAAACATGCTCTGCAACTAGGTTAAAACTCATTTTTCCCAGCTAAATTATGTTGCTACTGGTTTTCTTAATAGCATCTTCCTATCTTGAAACTGGCTTACACAAGATTCCTTATTGATTTTGAGCTTATAACACTGACTGATAAACAGAGAGGTGCTTTGCTTTCAGGCTTTTGTAATTTTTTAATAGAAAAAGGGCAGAAAGAAAAACATCTGAAAGGAAAAACGTGCATAGAAAAAGAGTCAAGTGGTCTTCTGAGAAGACAGAGACTGAAAAATATGGTATACAAATTGCTGTGACCTGCCAACTGGCAGTGTCCACTTGGAACTATCACAAGATAACGCCTGCTACTTAGAAACATCTCCCATGCTGCAAAGCTGGTAAAGGCAATATATTACAGACTGTGGCACACATTTTGCTTATCACAGTGACATGAAAAGCCCCACAGATTGTCAACAGCACTGCCTAAACAAAGAAGTCCAAGTTTGGTGTTTTGCTGGAATCAAACAATATGGCAAAACCACAGAAGCAAGTCAGTTGTGGTAAAGAAAACACCTCACAGAAATGAGATATGGATTTGTCTGTGTTTCTACAATCTCCTGTGTGCTGCTCAACAAGACCAACTGATCAGCTGGTGGCAAGCCCGCCCTTCTGGGATCCCAAGTCCCATGTTCGCCAGCCATTCAGACCATCTTAGGAAGAACTCCATGGCACTTCCAGGTTGCACAGCACTCTGGACAATCAGAGGTTGCTTTGCAACATGTATTGGTTTTATGTGGCAAGGTTTTGGTAGCGGGGGGGGTTACAGGGGTGGCTCCTGTAAGAAGCTGCTGGAAGCTTCCCCTGTGTTCGAGAGAGAGCGAGCCCATACCAGCCGGCCTCTAGGCCGGCCCCGCCGCCGGCCAAGGCCGAGCCAATCAGTGATTGTGGTAACACCTCTGTGATAACATTTTTAAGAAGGGAAAAAAAGTTGGGACGGGGAGAAAATAGCCACCGGAGAGAGGAGTGAGAACATGTAAGAGAAACAAGCCTTCACCAAGGTCAGTGAAGAAGGAGGGGGAGGAGATGCTCCAGGCGCCGGAGCGAAGATTCCCCTGCAGCCCGTGGTGAAGACCCTGGTGAGGCAGGCTGTCCCCCTGCAGTCCAGGGAGGTCCACGGTGGGGCAGATATCCACCTGCAGCCCGTGGAGGACCCCACGCCGGAGCAGGTGGGTTCCCGAAGGAGGCTGTGACCCCGTGGGAACCCTGCGCTGGAGCAGGTTCCTGGCAGGACCTGCGGATCTGTGGAGAGAGGAGCCCACGGAGCAGGGTTTCTGGCAGGACTTGTGACCCCGTGGGGGACCCACGCTGGAGCAGTGTGTGCCTGAAGGACTGCACACTGTGGAAGGGACCCATGCTGGAGCAGTTCGTGAAGAACTGCAGCCCGTGGGAATGGCCCACGTTGGAGAAAGGTCGTGGAGGACTGTCTCCCGTGGGTGGGACCCCACGCTGGAGCAGGGGAAGAGTGTGATGAGCCCTCACCCTGAGGAGGTGAAGCGGCAGAAAATAACATGTGATGACCGTAAACCCCATCCCTGTCCCCCTTGTGCCGCTGGGGGGGCTTGGTGGAGAAATCCGGGAGTGAAGTTGTGCCCGGGAAGAAGGGAGGGGTGGAGGGAAGGTGTTTGGAGATTTCGTTTTATTTCTCATTTACCTTACTCTGGCTGATTTGTAATAAATTGAGCTAATTTTCCCTAAGCTGAGTCTGTTTCGCCCGTGATGGTAATTAGTGAATGATCTCTCCTGTCCTTATCTCGACCCGCAAGTTTTTTGTTATATTTTTCTCTCCCCTGTCCAGCTGAGGATGGGGGAGTGATAGAACGGCTTTGGTGGGCACCTGACGTCCAGCCAGGGTCGACCCATCACACAACACTTCACGGAAACTCTGGGAGTTTTGGTTTTCAGCCTTAGCCACAGTAAAAGCAAATACTGCCAAGCCAATGTATTTATTTACAAATGTAAAACATTGCTTTTCTCCGCCCAGCTCTTAGGGAGAAACATAACTAAAGTGGCCATGCAGCTATGCCACAATTATGCACTTACATCATCCAGTGTACTGGTTATTTCCCATCCTGGTTTCGCTGCTAGGTGTGTCAGTGCAGCTATATTGCTGTAACTCACATATGCCTGAAATGCAAGATACATTTCTGAAAATGAAGGGGTAAAGGTACATTTCACTGAACATTGCAGAAATGCGATGGTCTTTTTCTATCATTACCCCTCAATCGCAAACAAATGCCATTGTTTTTCCCATAAGTGTTTTCCTTCCAGAAAACAGTCCAATAGTTTCTGAATTAAATGCTTCAATAGCTAGATTATGTGCTCACATGGCTGTTGGCAAAACAACCCTAATTAAACAACAACAAAATACTACTTTCGGCTTCTCCAATTATAAAGCAGTGGAGAAAAACTGTGACCACCAGAGAGATAATACAGGTAACCTCTCAGACCACTAAATTAATGGTTTTGTCCATCTTCCTCCTAAGTAATTAAAACCTATTAGGAAATTAACCTCTTCATTGCTATCAAGCTGCAGTCTGTCTTGGCAATTGCTTTACACAACAGGCTCAGAGCAGAGAAAGTACAAATATATCCATTATTTATGCTTGACTACAGTGGATGGAGTTCTCATTTAACCATTGTATACAGAGAATACAGCCTGAGAGTCTTAATGACAGGTTTTAATTTAATATTAAATAAATCTTAAGTAAGTAAGCCATTTTTATCACTGTGTGCATATTTATTGTTTTGCAGAAAAGAAATGCTGCTTCAAACAGTGAGATGCCACTGTTAACAGCAAATAACTTCCTGCATTATAATTCTCAATTATTTATTTTTTCATGTAATGGAAAAAGACTTGGTAAAATTTCTGGAAGCCACTGGGATCTTAAATGCAATGAAAATTTAACTACAAAAATTTGACACTGACACGATATTTAGGGTGTCTATAAGTCCACCTAAACTCAAGTTCATCAGTATTCATTTCATGACACAGGCACATTACATTCTATCGCCTAGCATGTCCAAGCCAGAAACACGTACCCCTTGATGCAGAGTATATAGGAATGGACATATGTTTTCACCTCTCTTTCCTGTAGGAACAAAGTTTACGCTATTTCACCGTTCATCTGTCTGTTGGTATTGCCATGTCTCTTGCCCCACTTTTAGCATTTAATAAATGGTCTCCTCACAGCAATTTTTGAGAAAGTCAGTGGCTGGATAAAGGAAAAAAAAAACCAACCCAAACCCCAAACTAATTCTCCTACAGGAGAATTCAGCTTTTTAAAAGCTGGGGACACTGGGATGTAAATCTGCAGAAGACGTTACTGCTTCGCTGCTTAAGGGACCACTTCTTAAAGGTGTCTCTCTTAAAGACATTTTTTATGTTTTGCACGAAACTTACTCTTAAATCAATAGTGAAGCAGCTACTCTCTTTTTTTCAGAACAAAAAAAAGGTTCATCTTATTACACATTTATCCATTCTTCCATGACTATCATAATGCTTAATACAGAAGGTCCACTTTGGAAACAGATACAGCCTGTACAACTCTTTTACACACCCAAAAAGTGTATAAATACATACATTTTAAGCAAGTAGGCAATAGGGCACAATCTACAGATTACCTGGTTGCTTGTCTCCCAGGGATCAGAAGGTTTGTCTTCATTAGCAGACAGTATGCATTTTCTAAAACAAAATTCAAAAGAAAAAAATAGCATGAATTGGTTCTTTACACTTTCTTCTATATATACTAGAAACAATAAATTTCATAGGCTTAAGTGTCTTCTAAACACTTTACAGGCATTTTATAAATTTCTGGTTTCCAGACAGGCCTTTTACTTCCCAAGAAAGATGGGGAAACAAAATAACCTGTAGAGCAAAGTATTTTTGAGACAAGTAGGCTCTAATAATTTCAATACAACTCAGGCAAAATTATTCAGAAAGTTAAGCAACATAACAGTTACGTTGAGGAGACTTTGACTACTTAACAAATGATTACTTTTTTACAGGATAAATTAAAGAATTAAGTTTTCAAAATCAAGTTCTCCTTGTAACTCAACTATACCTGGCTAGTCGAATTCTCCTTCGGGCAATAGCTCCATGGTATCGCCTCATACCATCCTTTATAAAAAGTAAACCAGACAGTAACACATATTATTTTAGGACACAGTCTAAAAAAAGACAACTAAAAATTATTTCTTACAGATGGACAAATGCCAGAGATGTACTATTAATAAATAAAGAATTGTACTCTGTACATTGGCCTTTCCCCAGATTAACCTGAGCCAGTGGTTTACTTTTGAGTTAACAATATTCCCTTAAATTTGCAAAAGTAATCCAATAAAAAAGTTGTATCACAATAGCATACTCCTAGCACTTTTTGGTCCTAAAGCCATGGCAGCTGGGCAGTGCACCACACACATTCTACTCTTTCTAAATATGCCACCCACCAAATAAACTATTAATTCAATTCATCATCATCTGATGTTCAAAGCACAAAGGAAGCATGTAAGAATTCGTATTTTAGTGCACACGGATCCGGGACACAGAGCAAGCACTGTGCAAAAAGATGCAATCTGCCCTTCAAGGTGGCAGGTCTTTCCCTTCCCTTATTATTACTCTGCCAGAGTGGATTTTTTTTGAAGGACGAAGTGACCGAAGAGCATACACCACACCAAACTGCATTAAAGGTCAAGAGGACTTGTTATCTTGAAGGATATGCCACTTTGGAAAAGCTTCTTTTCCTCAGCTTTTAAGAACTGACATGTAGCTTCTGGAATAAGAAGAATCTCCACATTAGTGCATCTCAGCCTTCTTTAAACCAAGTTCTACATAACATTTTTTGAAGACATCTCTTGTCTGTTTTATAGAGCACTACCATACCAGCTGTCACTTTTAGTCAAATGACCACTGAAAGTTTAAAGTACTTTGAACATATGCTAATTTTCCCAGATTTGTTTGCTTTACACTGAAGGAATGGGTGCACAGGTTCTTATCGTGACACTTAACTTGTGGATGCCCCTCTAAGCAGGTCTTTAAGGGAAGCACTGTTTTTCTGACACAAGCTAACCTGCTATGGCTTTTTTTTTTTTTTTTTTTTTTTTTTTTCCCAGGAAGAGGGGGGTTTTCCTCTTGGAACAGCCTGTAATGGGCAGTAGTGAACCTTACTGCCTCAGCCAGTACATAGGACACCTTGATTTATTTGTCCAGTTGCCATCCTACAAAATATAAGTTCACTGATGTTAAATAATCATTTCACTTCTGACTATGCTGGCTCTCTAAAAATCTCATAATTGGAGCAGTAAGGTTAATGACAAGTGACATCACAGCAAATAATTCAACAACAGTATTCAAACTGCTCCGAGTGCTTCATGAACTGCTTTCAGGGAAACACATGCTGAGATCTCCATGTCAAAGGAAAAGGAAAAGGAAAGGAAAGCCCACCCATTTCATGGGATTTGATTCCTACAGACTTCTCTATTAACTCTATTTCTCATCTTCATTAAGGGTTCATAAAAATAATTTTATTCACTGAACACTTAGGAATTTCATCTACAGACAGTGGAGATTGCACAAGACAGATATAGACAGGTGCAAAAATCTGCAAAAAGCAGATTCTTCTTCCCTGTCCATCAACTAATTACGGAATTTCTAATGATGACTACCTCTACTACACCTCTCAGTTTTGGGTGACTGAAGTTAACAATGGCAAATCTCTCACTCAAAGGCAAACATTTCATTCAGAGATCTTCTCTTCTGCAAGAAGATGCATTTCAGTGTTCTGTTCAGTCCTTACTTTCCCAGCAAGGTTATAGTGGCTGGCTGCGTGACATGCAGTGTGCTGGGTTGGACCACATAATCTTATGTATGCATTCATCCTACTCCTGAGGATGAGAGCTGACCTTTGTAGTAGGTTTGATTCTGGGGAAGGTGAGCAGCTCTCCTTTGTCATTTACAGTGTTAAAAATGAGAAATGCGCTGTTAATATGCCGTGCTTGGTCCTTGATCCATTCTTCACAGTTATAAGCCTCAACACGGACACCAACCTCCACACTGAAATAGAAGTTTAAATTAATTATTGAACTACTACAAGTGATGCAGGAGCAGCCCTGAGACATTCTAAAAAGGGCAGCTGTACACCTTCCTGTGTGCAGGAAGCCTGACTCAAATACCTTCTGTAGCATACAAAATAAATTACTCAGTCTGAACAGACGCATTTCAGAAATAAAATAGAAGGTGGCACTAGCTAAATAGCATTAATAAAAAGAGCTGAAATTGAGCTAAATAGCAAAATATGAACACCAGTAAGCATACTGTGAGAACAGACAGCAAAAGTGAACAAGATGAAACTGTTTTGACATTCAGCAGAAGCTTAGTATGAAGGTAATTCATGCCCTGCTAGCATTCTGCAGGGATCAAATATACCTACAGAGAAAACAGCCATAGAACAGCAATGCCAGGATAACATCTGTCACATGTACAGAATTTGGAGGTGGAATTACTTTAGCTTCTGCCTTCTTGTGGCTTGTCTTGCTACACCTCTTGAAACTTCTGGACATGTTCTCCTGTTGGAGCAGGGCTCCACATAAATTGTGTCACATCCCTGGCATAACCAGAGCATCTGTTGGCCCAAAGAGCTATTCCTGTAGATGGCAAAACAGTCTAGCAGAGAGGTGCTATCCCTTTGCTAAAGGTCACAGGAGAGTTGTTCTCTCTGAGGCAAACACAACAGTAGCCCTAAAACTGCAGAGGAGATAGCGCATGCATAGCAGAGAGAAAGAGAGAGTAACCATTAGCAAGCAGGATCTGTGCAAGATTGGACAACAGCCACACCACTAAATTCCAGGACCAGGCATTCAATGTGCCAAAATCTATGTTTCATGCTTATGGTGACCATGTACTCAACTAAAGATAAAATTTCAGCCTGGGCTGTAGCCATTTATTCCAAACTGCAACTGGCAAAGCTTCACCTCTGCATACACCCAAACCAACACTGGGAAGAAATAAACAAAACGAAATACGAATTTTGCCATTAACCAGGAATAAATAGAACCCAGATCTGTCAACGGATGCCAAGACAGGAAGATCCTGGCAGCAAGCTGGAGTATTCTGAAGAATCAAAGCTGTGGGACCAACTCATCCCTTGAAAATCCCTGAATTTCCAAGTGATATTTATGGTCTGAGTTTGCAGGATTGGGATTTGGTTACAAACTATCTTTAAATTGAGAGTGAAAGTCAGAGAATAAATTTTCAAAAACTTTCACTGAGAAAAAGAAAAAAAAAGCATATATAGACAGATAGTTATAGATACAGATACAGGTATATCCCTCAAAGCTCCAGCTGAAAAATAATTCATTCAATAACGCAAATCCTACCGATAGCTGAAACCTGAAACATGCAGTTAGGCTGTTGCTGGAGAAGTCAAGGAAGACAAGCAGATGAGGAGCTTTACCTAGTCTGAAATGTATTGTTCACAATTGCATTGAAGACAAGGCGGTCACCCACGATGGATGGTCCCCAGAATTTAAACATATTGACTGACTTCAAGACGGGATATGAATGACAAAGGCGGCTGAAAAAGAAAGCAAGAGAGACAGAGCAAAACATACAGTCGAGTTAAAGAACCTCCTTTGTTAGGTTTGAAGTGGTTAGTGATTAGAGCAACAAGGCTTGCACAACCTAGAAAATAACTATATTACACTAATTTATTCCATAACCCACTGAAATACAGTTAACATGTTCAGCTACAGGAGCATATAATTTGAGCTTCAAACATAATAATACCACTTATGTCATGCTGTTTCATTTTCAACACACTTTACAAACATGGACTAATTAATTCTCACCGCTTGATATTACCTTCTTTTGGAGCCAGACTACGAATCCCTTACCTACAGAGTAAACACTTACTTCACAGAGTTTCATTAATTTCTATATGACTGCATGGGGAGTAGGATATTGCTCACCACATAAAAATGCCAGATCATAAAGCCTTTAGACAATTAAAAGAAACCTGAGCAGAAAGGTTGAGCACCAGAAACAGCGTTCAAGCAAAGCAATGTCATCTATCTATTCTTTTTAATATTGGTACTTTTTTTGCTTGTTTGTCAGATGTTTTCTGCTAGTATTATATGAAATAAGAATAAAAACCTACTCATATAACTGTCAAATGCATAGTTGGTTTTGTGTTTTTTTTTTTAATTTGGTATTGTTTACTATATTAGGTGCAGTTCGTTACTGGTGCTGAGCTGGGAAACTCATCTTTGCACATACAAAGGGACAGAAAGATTTTGAACTGATCACTCATCAATTCAGAAACACAGAACTGTTGGCTGAATTTCAAGAGTGGAGGGCCCAAAAGTATGTTACAAACACACAAAGCTTAGGAACTCTGTTCCCTTTGTCCTTCCAATTGCATAGTGCATGCACTCACCTGTCTTTTCTTATCTCAGATCTGATCCTGTACTGTGCTCAATTACATGTAGTTAGGTTCAGCTGGGTTGTCCTACTGTATCTCTTTGAACTGCTTGTGAAATAGCCTGTAGCCGCCCTGGTAAAACTTTGCTGGTCTAGTACAGAATATGGTCTGTGCCAGCCAAGTATGCTTTCCATGAGCAGACTAGCAAAGCTGCTCTTTGGACCAGTACAGTGGACAAACAGATATGCACCTGATCAAACCCAGCTACACTGCTAAAGGAAAAGTTTTGCAATATTGTGTTATCTACACTAGGGAATTCTAGTCACTTCTCTGACCCTCACAGACGTTCCAGAAAAAAATCTGCTGTACAGATACAGCTTAAGGCTTTGTGGAATTGGGATCTAGTTTGCAAGCCTTCCGGAGTGGGAAAAAATTAGGTTTCTTCAGCAGTTCTAAATGTAGTGAAAGCCCCACTCTTTACTGGGATCTCTGTGCACCACATGAATAGGGAACAATATATAATAATGCCATTTATTTTTAGACTTTGAAAAAACATGCTCTATCCTCATGCATGTATGCAAAACTCCTCAATAAGAATCCCATATGCACATCTGAGAATAGATTTTTCATTGCGCAGTTTTTAAACTTGAAAATACAATTTTGTAGCATTCCTAGCTGACTCGACTGCACTCTGCAAACTAATGTTATCAGTATTGTTAAACGCACACAATTATCTGTAGGTAATTAATTGACTAGGACATCTTTTTAATAGACTAATACATTCAAATGACTTTGTAATTTCATTAAGAATAATTTGCTCTTCTGATTTAAAACGCTAAATGGTGATCTTATTTACAATGTTCACTACAAAGATGCAAACACAATATTATTGAAAATAAGAGATGGAACAAACCAGAAATTTGGCCTAAATATTCCATTTTTCCTGGAAAACTATGCCCTGAATTCTTTTACTGCAAGTGTAAGAAATAAGAATGTTCAGGTCCAGTTCAAACTAATATTACTAATGTTCAAATGGCTATATTGCTATCCGCAAGATTTTCATTTACTGTCCAGCCAAAAAAGTGGGGGAGAGGGGAGAAGCGGGGTGAATAACCTTTAAAATGCCCTTAGAAATTTATTTGTCAAGGTTTAGCCCTTCTCATCTGTTCCTCCATCAGTTTGTGGCCATAGCAACTCTTAACTGGCACCTTCAAAGGTCAGGACTAATTGTGAGTGGCCTCACAAAAGGTTTGTAGCGAGACTAGCTATTTCTCAAGCATAAACTACAGAATCTCTGTTTTCAACAAGCCTCTGTCACCAGCTATTACTCCTGAAATTTTCAACATGACAAATCACATTTGACATTCATTAGTGCAAAGAAAATTTTTTCAGTACTTGGTTGGCTGATGTTTTCCTTCTCTTTTTTTTTAAAGCTAAATGTGACTCTACCAGGTAAAATACATCAAATGAAAACAGGTAAATATTATGGCAAAATCTGAAACAGTCCCTTTAGAGCCAATGAAATTACACACTGGGGTAAGGTCAGTGCGTTCTAATGTTACTAAAACAAGCTGTTTCTACAACCACTACAGAAAATCTGTTGTTATTAGTACAACTACTGGCTACAAATCAAAACTATATGAATAATGAATGGGAATTCATTTAATTATTAAAGTTAAAAAGCAAAAACATATCTAATATCCCTGCAGTGAATTAGGTCACTTGGTATGCAAGGAGAATTCAAACTGAAACTCAAGAGCTGCTTACAAAGAAGCTTTGTGCAGTGTCCAAGAACAAGGAGGGAGAAAAACAACGGTTTGATTTCAGGGGAAGAGAAATTAAATGATTATATGTCTAGGCCATACCGACAAGCAACACTAGGCAGTGTCACAAAAATACTTTGCACTCACTACCTGAAGATGTCAGAGCCCTTTATACTGCTAAAAATATTACAACCTATAGGACGTAGGACTCAGAGAGACTGAAAGGTTAAGTGACTTGCTGAAGGTTATGCATCTGTTCTGTGTGCTCACCAACAAAACAGAACCTGTTTCTTTTGATTCTTCTTCTCTGACTTAGTCTTTCTTCTGGCATAAGGATCTGCAGACTAACATTTAGAAGGCTGTTCATTTTTGGATATCAGTTGATACAGGGTCAGTACTGGTTTTATCCCAACTTCACAAGTAACTCTTCTTTTAAAACGCTGCACCAACCACAAGGAGACCAAGTTTCTACTTGTATGTCCAATGATGACTTTCTGCAGAGATTCTCAGGAAGATAACATAGCCTCTTTTGCCTTAGGGTCTGTATGTGTAACAGAAGAATAATATTTGACTCCCACAGTGGTGTGGCATGCTGTGGGAACTATACCACATAAATAGTTCAAAGGCCTCCTGCAATCTGAGGCAGAAGAAAAGTCACAAAGGGTTAGGTCTGTATTTTTCATAAAATAAATCCCTGTGAAACCCTTAATATTAAAATCACAGCCATTTAGAACCATATGCAAACACTATGAGGCAGAGAAGTACCTTGCTGAAATACTTGCCACTGTCTCCATCCAAGCCATGATCTGGCCACCAAAAGTGTTTCCATGATGGTTTGCGTGAGGAGGCTGGACAAGCTCAATACTCTGTACATGAGTAAGGTCAGTTGAAACTGCATCTTCCTCTTCAAAAGTATCTAAAATACAGCAGCAATGTATTAATGAATTATTTCAGCTAGTAACTGACAGCCAAGAAGAAAATACCCCCAGTTACTGAAGCATGCAATTTGCTTCAGACAAAATGAAAAGAAGAAAAAAAAGAAAGACACAGAAGACCTCTGTTATTTGCAAGGGAAGCAAGAGTCTGAAGATTTGCTCTGTTCTTCCAAGAGACATAAGAGGTGGGGGATGGTGCACCCCATAGTCTATCACAGGACAGTGATTCTTCTCAGCCCTCGCTATATCCCTTAAAGAAGCTGCGTCAGAAGCAGTTACTGTGAAACTTGGCTAGCTGTGAATGCTGGCCGCCAACAGCCTCAGCATGTGCTTGCAATTATTCATGGTTGCTATGCGTGACCTCTAACGGATGTTGTCAGAGCAGTCTATCACTTATTCAAATGCCTTTCATAGACTTTGAGTACCATGTATGATGGGCACCTGTGCAAATGTGTCTAATTAAGGTTAGAGTATGACATGATTATTTCATAACCTGTTACAAATCTTGTGATTACCAGAGACAATATAGAACACAAAAATCAGAAATATGGATCTGAATCAGTAACCAACTTCCATTATCTGAGCATTTCCAATTCCAGTTTCAAATGTTTAGCCACACATCCTCACTCTAATCTTTGTTTTTTTCAGTTATATTTTGCAAGAACAGATTCAGGCTTGAGATGATGTCAGTCATTTTAAAAGCGCATATCTGTGCTAGAAGCTACTTGACCTGAATTGTAGTTTTGACTTTTGCCATAATTAACTAACTTTATGATTATATAAATGTGTGGACACATTTGACTAACTTGCACTTCGGACCTACTTAAGTTGTTGCATAAGAACCACTCAGAAGACAAACTTCACTTTCTGGATATGACTTATACCTATTTTGCTACCTTTACATGCAGTATGTTCTTCTCTCTTCCCCTGTTTTGCTTGTTCTGTCTCCTTAAGGACGTGAATTGGTGCTAACAATGATAAGATCCTTCGAGGAAAATTCCAGGCAAGGAAGTGGAAACCAAAATCATCAATCTCTGATTTCTCTTTCATGGTATTAAGCTGTCTCCCATGAGACAGTTACCATGAAGACATATAACTTGTTTGCTTGTAGCAAACAAGTCCCTTCAGTTCTACACAGTCTTATTAAATTATTAAGACTAGAATTTATATTTACAACAGGTTTCATCTTTCCTCAGTAAAACCACATAATGTTTGTTGTTTATACAGAGTTACAGCTCAGATTTTCCAAATATCAGCATATTTCTTAACTGTTGTGAATAATTTCTTTTGCAGGGCAACAAAGCAACTTTTGAGCACAACTGTCTTTGAGAACAGACATTACTATCAGAAATAAAGATGAACCTGTTTCTTGGCTCAATTTTTCCAATTTGGTCATGAGGAGTTTAAACTTTTTTTCACCTGTTTTGACCTCCATGTAATGAAGTTTTCCTGCTCATTGAGAATGATCTTATGACATAGATAGCTCTTAGTGCTTTCTTGCAAAGACACAGCCATAAGCCTGAGTGAATTTTATCCTTCTATCTACACTACAGCTAGTGTCACAGGACTTTATTACCATATTGTAAAGTCCTGTGTGAACACTTAAACCTTACATATAACCTACATGAAGATCTGCATTTCACATCTATTTAATGCATGCTTCGCCTTCAATCCTGCATTTTTAAATCTGGAATTTCTGGAAGACAAAGAAATACCACTCTATTAGAATAACTGTCTTACACACCCTCACAAATCTGGCACACGCTTTTCTCCATGATACCACCACCTCAAGGAGCTCTACTCAGATATTTTGTCTGCTTTTTTCCTCCCTTCCAGCTGCCCATAAGTTGTTTGTTCTGTCTTCTATGCTGACCACAATAATCACCTTCCTTATTACTCTCCTGCATTAGGTTCTGAAAGACCTGTTCATAGCCCAGTCGAATTCTCCTTCTCTCAATAGCCAGGGTGTGCTCCAGCTGATCTTCTGTAGACAGAAGGTTTACAGGTTCTAGTTCAATCTATGCAAATGAAGAAAAAAAAAATGTTCTGAATGCCACAACCATAACAAAGTGCACTTTGAACTTAAAACGGCATCAGCATTTTCTACAACCTTTTGCTATCAACTGTCCAAGATGACAAGTTCTATTAATACAAACAAGTGCAGCATTAAAGTTCAAGAGATTCTGCATTATCCTTTCAGAATCATTTGTTAAAACTCAATGACAAAGTGCTCTTAGCTTTTAAATACAAACATCCATGAGATCACACTCAGTTTAAGACAGTTCTCATTTAAAAAAGAAAAAAGAAGAAAGAAAAATAGAAAAAAGAAAAAAAAAGAAAAAAATAAGATCTTAATATGAAGGTTTGAGTATTGAATTTTTCTATCAGAAAAATAATCCAGTCACATTGATCAGTGGTGTACTCTATGCAAAAGTGTACCCCAGAGCCCACTCCCACTAACTACACAAATAGCTCGCTCCCTCTTTCACAATTCACTCTGTACTCACATATCCTATTCCATCTATCTGAGGACCCATTTGCAAAGAAGCCCTGGTCTTCTGAGCTGCAGAAACACGTGAACACTCAGCACTTGGTGCAGCTTCAGGCCCTATACATTTATGCCCAAAATGCTACTTGTGCCCAGACACACATGCTTCTCTTGCCAAGATCAGACATTCTTCTCCCTCAAGTGCAAATTCCTATGTATGTCAGTTCAATGACAAACTGAATCCAAACCTGTAGTGCCATAAGAAAATTATTACACTTAGATAAATACTGCAGAGGTGCCACTGAACAGTCACTTGTGTGATTTGTCTACCAGGTCTAGCCTCAGAAACCTTAAAATAATGCACAAGCACTGCAACACAGACAAATTCAACATTTTGTGTCCTGCAGTGGTGCTGCTAATATTTCTCAGTCTTTGAGTCTTCACTCACACCCTCTTGCAGTTTCCTTGCCTCCTTTCTGGCCCTCCTCAAGAGCTTCCTAGCTTTTTGGAGATGGCCCAGCCGAAAGATTAAGACAGTAAGTGCGTACTGTTGTTCTCTGCACAACTTTAGCAACAGTTGTTCAGAAGAGTGGATTTGAAAAAATGTTCTTTAATTTCTCCAAGACTTTAAATTGTGATGGAATTTGTACTGAAGTCTCAAACTCCCTCTGGGGCATTCCTGTCTTAAGCCTAATCTTAGTTAATCATCACCAATTTAATCCCGAATTAACCTCCCTGGAAATTTGGGCAAAAGGTAAATGGGTTGATGCCATGGATATGATATCAAAGCAATAATAAACAATCCTTACTTTATACTACTTTAGTGCTTTCAGGGTAATCAATTCAGCCAATAACCTTTCAGAGATAAGCTGGGCTTTAGTTTTGGTAAAACTGTTCCAACCCGTTTCTTCTGCAAACTGTAATATATCATTGCAAAAGGGAAACCAGAAATGATCGGATATATTAATTGCTCATGGGATGACTGCTCTCTGCCAACCTGTGGTGGATGTTAAAAAGGCAGATGCACTGTTATAACACATTCAATGAGACAGGTAAGTCAGATATATGATTCTAGTCACTCATATTCAAGAAAGTCGAATACTACATATAAAGGGAGTTTATGAAGAGGATCTGAGGAATATTTGGCCTTTCTCATATGAAAACTTTAAAGGAACTGTGCCTGTCTGGCACAGCAATGTGAAGGCCAAACAGTACCGTGACTGATTTCTAATACCTCTGGGGAGCCAAACACTGGGGAGAAGAAACATTGGCATGAAAACTCATTAACATAAACAGCAAAGAATTAATTTAGATTGGAAGCTAGCTTAAAAATAATGTCTTCTATCTGAACAGTGATGTCTGAACAATCTCCTCAAAAGGGGGGAGTGAAGGATAAAGAAACCCCACGCCCGACACCCTTGCAGATTTCAAGATGTATATAGGTCAGTTTCTGAAAAGGAGAGAGAAGGTGCAGACTCACAGGGATCTCTCTTCCAGTGCTTGCCTCTGTCAAAATTGCAGCCCTTACAAAGACACCAGTTCTATTCCTAGCAAATGTGCAAGAGGAAGTGGAAACAATAAAAAAGCCTAACAATTTCAGAACAGAGATGTGGAAAAAAGAAGTATCTCTGTAACATCTGGACTTCATGCTGTTTTCCTATTATTGATCAGAATAAAGAGGTATGAGCATTTTCCTGTGTTTCACAACCAGAAAAGTCGGGTTATTTCACAGAAACTCAGTCCCAGTAACTTCAAGCATAAAAGAAAAAAGAAAGAATACCTTTCCACCACCAACTGGTTTGGCTACATATGTTGCATATGCCACACTCACAATTTTTTCAACATTAGTCAAAACATCCTGTACTGTAACCTTGATGCCAACCTACAAGGAAGGAGGTAGTGGAGGAAGGAGACAAAAAAGGTATTTACATCATTGTCAGTTGAGTTGAGACAAAATGGTGCAGTGTTTATCAAATTAATCACGCCCAGTCTCTTAAACCTAAAAGAAAAAAGGTAAAAAACCTGCTCTTGCTATCACTGATACATCTCTGAACACATAAGAACATCACAATATTTGCTGAGCTCTGAAAATCTTTCTAGTACAACAACTGTGTATGTATGTTTAGCATCATTTGGAGGGTAAAATAAAAAATAGGAAAGACACTTAGATTTAGTTTTATGGCTATCTCTTTGCATTTACTTTTGTGCCATTTGGAGTCCCCATCTGAATCTTTCTGAAGATCTGTATGAGCAAAAAAGTCTGTATGAATGTATAAAACACAATGAAACACTTGAAGGTGAAACACTGTATTTGATCCTGTAAGACAGGCCTGACATACAGCAAAGTTTCTGATTTCTTTCTCATTTTTAGGACCTTTTGGAATACACTGTCCATGAGATGCATCACTTTCATTAATATTAATGAGAATTGGACTTGGCCACAATGCAGAGAAAAGTACCCTTAAGGTTCAATTCTTATTTCAAGTAAGTGATTGGGCAATGCATTGCATACTTGTTACAATATGAAGAGTAAGAACATGCATACACCTGAGATAAATATTTTTGTATTTCAAAATACAGAAGTTTCAAAAATACTTAGAACTCTACCTATTCAGTGGATCCTAGCTCTGATCCAAAGACTGCTTAGAGGTCAATAGCTTTGGACTGGACCAACACCACCTATCCCATCCTCTCCATTACACCTGTCAAAGATTTTAAGGCTTTAGGGTCCAGTTTCTACTTTGACATGGATTATTTTACAGGAAACATGCAAATATAATAGTCATTAGGAATCCACAATTCCATTAGGCAGTGTTACTGTTTAGATATCTGCACAAAGCTCCTTCTGAAACAAGTAAGACTGGACCCATGTTGCATTCCTCTACTCCTCCCACCTCTCCTCTTTAAATAGCGTTAGGAATAAGACTGATGATCTCTTACCTCCATACTGGTTTTGAATGCTCTGTTCACCTTTGCTTTGATGCTAATAATTTGTCCAACCCTGTTAAGAAGAATAACATCTTACGGTATGTAATCATGCAGCTTAATAAGGGCTTGAACCTGCCTCTCTAGGTATTCTTAACAGTAGTGAAGCAAATCTCATTAATCAGTCTGTATCTTCCATGCTGTACTGAAAATGCACTGAAAAAGGTTTATCATTGTTATGCATCAGTCAGACTTCATTCATGGGCAATAACTATTTTAGTCACTCAGAAAACTGCATAAGCTTAATACTAGCATTCCTTCTCCTTGCTGATGTCTGTATGACGTCAGGTCTGCTCCAGGCTCCAGGTCCCCCAAGAAATTTTGGCCTAGGTTCTGCTTTTGTTCAAAGGCACATCTTGCTGTGAGTTACACCAAATCACTGAGTACATCTAGCTGCAAAACCGCACAAGAAATACTCCATGTGATTTCTCTAGCATACAGAAACATGCATGTGAGGAAATAATCCCAGGACAAAAAGTGCTCTCTGACATCCTTGAACGATGGGCAAAGTGTTCACCTTCCAAGTTTTGGCCAAGAACAGGGCTGCAGCATGCTGCTTCTGTCCTAACAGCATACCTCTGAACAACTGCTCTTCCCCATTTACCTACATAGAATACCTAAACAGAATTATACATTTTTACCTACATAGAATAAAATTTAAATAAGAAAATAATTTATTTCCTTCTGGAATTTCTAAAGTACCTGTTACATGTTGATAACAAAGTAACCCTTGTTTTCAGACCCCTAATACCCTAACACAAGGCAATGCTGAAAGGGTGGAAAGAAGGCAGTTTTACCTAAAATTGTCTAACTGAGCAGAGCAGTAAAAGGACATGATGTGCATGGTAAGTCAGAACCACAGCCAAAATAACTGGGCATCAGGCCACTGCCTTCAGGGAATTTAGACTAACCTACAACTGCTAAAGATCAGTCTCAAAGCAGGCAAAGTGCAGCTAGCTACATCTGAGACTACAAAATATAACTCAGACCACTTGAGTACCTATGAAATAGGCATTTACATCTAAGGATTTGGCACAGTTATGACTCCAGTTTACAAAAAAAAATTCCTTTATCATTTCTTCATTATTTAATGAATAGGGTTTTGACACTTAAAGGTAAGGCTTTTCTTTAATTGCTTTTCTCAATGCCAGAACTTCAAATGAATTGTTACCAAACACTAGAATTGGGAACAGGAAACCTCCTCCTTTACAGTACCAGAAAGGAACAACCAACTACACAGGAACCTTCTCTTTCTTGTTCACATTCAAGAACACAAGTGGAAGCCATTGAGCAGATGGGGGAGAAATGGTTAGAGGAAAGAATTAAGACCATCTGCAGATACACAGTGCTCATTAGCTTTTGAAGAACATACTCAGAAGCAGTTTTTCCATCATTCATTGCAAAGAAAAAGCACAATCATTAATGCAATAGTTCTAAACTGCACAGCTAAGGGAACCACCAGCTCATTTACAAAAATGAGAATGCGTTCAGAACAATAACACAATATTTATGTTTAAGCTTGGAAAAGAAGTTAACATTCCAGTCTTGTGAAAAGGCTTTAGAAAGCTTAGAGACAGAACTCAGTCAAGTACCTTGAAACACCTCTGAAGACTTTGTATTTCTGTATCTATGACTCTGTCATAACACTCCCAAGAGGATTACAGTAACACAGCAGTAGAGGTAATGACAAAGTACAAGGTGAAAAAAGACAGAATACATTCATTAGATGAACTCTATGGTTGAATATGACACATGCTGGCAGTGAGTGTGAGGCTTTCCTTAAAAGAGGGAGAGTTCAGAGTCTCTACAGATGCTTGTAGAGGACGTCATGGTCCCTGCCAAGAACATCATGATGCTGGATTGTCCATGAGGTCCCAGCAGAGACTGCAGAGGTCTCAATCTCAGGCTTACTGGCAGGGTGCTATTCTTCTGTACAAAGATAGTTTATTTCACCTTTGTCAGTGACACCTCCCCGGTCACCTCTCTTCCTCTGCATGAAAACATTGCATAAGAGAGATTGAGAGAGGTAAGTCTGGGTCTGTCCACCTTTGAGGAAACTGCAGGGTGGGAACAACACAACACAGCTGGACATGATCTCACTCAGCCTGAGAAGCCAGTCCTGCAGTAAGGCAGGTTTGGACTTCACAGACGTTAGATTCCCTAACTGACATCTCCACTGGTCCTCCAAGCAGTCTATGCAGCTGGACTCACATTTCATTGCAGAAAAGCCTAGTCCCCTGGGGTCCACAGCCATATCAGAAAACAAAGATGTCAGACTGAGATGGTCAGATGGTATGACAGGGAAAAGTCTTTTCATATACTTCCAGGAGCTGTTTCAAAATGAAATGTTTTACATTGTATCACGTATTCTGACTTCGGTCAAACTGATTTATTTAAGCCAAGAGAGCTGATCAGCTTGGGCATTTAGATAGATAGGTAAGAGCAGAAGTCACAGAACACCACACTTTCACTTGTAACTGGCAGAAAGCTTTTGAAATATATCAGAATGAACTGAATATGATTCACACACGGAGCACTAACAAAATTGAAATAAATGTAATTTAAAATCGGATGTTCTTACTACCAATGAACTGCTGCATATTAAAAGACAAAGAAGAAGGATTTATTTGTTATCATGGCACAAAACTGAGTTTTGCAATATATAGATTTTTTGAAATCTCTGTTTCCATGTCAACTGAAAAGAAATATGCACAGAAGACTTAATCCTTACAGAACATTTGGGAACGTGAGTTAGGTAAATGAAACCTTACAGCAGGTAACTTTTACAAAACACCTTTTTAATTTACTAGAGTGAGATACAAGAGCTCTCTTATTTATGCAAGATATTTGTATAATCAACAAGTTCTGGCAAAATTTAGGAAATTACACAGTAAGCTACAAACAGGATGTTAGGGATGACCTGAGGCTGAAAAATAATTACTGAAACCACTTCACAGTTACTACGCTTGTACTCTATATTCTTTTTAAAAATGAAACATTGGCACCACAAGTGGAAGGAGAACTAGAAACAGAAACAAATTTGGAAGGAAAAGTATTTTCATTATATTTTAGCAGCTCTGTTCTGCTCTCAGAAACAAGAGAGAAAATTGCTCTGAAGCTACTGAAGTCCGAAGGATTATGCCTGAAAGGAAAATATTACCCTGACTTAATTTGTAGGACTCTTTGTTTAGAGTTTTCACAGACTGTTTTTTTTTTCCTAAGGCCAAAATTAAAAACAGAACAATTACAGGCAAGACAAACACTTTAAAACTAATTTTGTAAAACAGACAAAGAAATTTTCTTGAGTTCTAGATTCAGTATGACCATGTTCACTTCTTTGTTACTGGTTCTAGTTCTCATCCCTATGGCCACTACTCTAAAAAACTGCTGTTCAGAAGTGTGAGTGGATGCTTACTTTACATTCATGTACTGCAAACAGTTTTAAACTGACATCATCTGTACATCTGACAGGCAATGCCACTTGGTTCATAGTCAGGACAACTGCACATGCATTGGTCTGTGTAACCAGGTCCATCCCATCTAAACACTCATTAATTTCCAGATTGCAAGGTGTAAAAACACACAAAAACTAAAAAGTCATGTCGTTACGTTTCTGTAAAGATATGGTTTAGGAATAAATGTGCTATTTCCTCTTACAGTGTCTTTTATCCCTTGGAAAATCATGAAAAATTGGTAAAACAAAAATTAAGTCCTGTATAATCTTGTAGACTCATTCAATATTTGGTGATCACAAACGCAAAACATTTCTGTTTTGTTACACGAATGCATTTTTTTAAAAGAGCTGAAAGAAAGAGGTGGCAAGAAATAAACTGAAAGAGCACTTGCAACAATAAAAAATTCATATAATAACTGTTATAGGTATGTATTTCTTATTTAACAGAGATAAGTAATGGCCTGCAGCACTCACTTTAACTAGAGCCAAAGATCACTGGGCCATCAGTTTCTCACCTGGCATCTAGGTTGCCAAGTCAAAGTAACTACAGTTTATTTTGCACCTGTGAAATTGATCTGTTTAATAGGTGGGTCAGACTATCACAGATAGAAAAGAGCAATTTTGAGACTTAACCCTGTGACTCTGGGGAGTTCATTGGCCTGCTATCTCAGATTTCATAATGCCTCAGTTTAACTCTGCCAAATAAGAATCTCTAGAATGAAAACATTTGACTGTTGTTAGCTGGTTTTGTACCTGGCAGCCTCTTCAAACTGTATGTCATCCATAGATGCTGTCACGCAAGACACACCAGCATGTTTCTCAGCTTCAAAAGAGACATATGGACACACAGTTACTACATTGCATTTGCAGCAAGCTATTCACCTATATACTTGTGCATGAGAGAAAGAGATAAAACACAGTAGATCCCAGTTTTTTGTGATCACCCTAATGCAAATCTGCAGTGGACACCTTAGAAAAAAAAGAAGCTAAATAAGATTAAAATTAATATTTACTATGAAATAAGGTTAACATCAGGAGATGAGAGTATATCATGATAAAGATCCTACTCAGTTTGAAAAGCTCTATTTAAGGCCTTTCTCTAAAAATGAACATTCTAGGAAGAGAGCGCTAACAAGCATGTTGCAGGACAAAAAGAGTCACAAAGCATTAAAAAGCCTATGGAAATCTCAGCAATCTCCTTCAAAAGAGGATGTCACGAATATTGGCTATGTTAGACCAGTGTGGAAGTTTTACGTCATTTGAGGATTCTCAGACACAGGAGAAAGAGCTGCTGGCTTATTAGTGTGGTCACAACAGTGGAAAGCAGTTAAGTACATGTCCTCAGTGCTGGACTAAAAATGCAGGAATTAAAAAAAAAAAAATACAAACAAGATTTTAAAAAATCAAAACCAAGTATTTACTTATTGTAAAATATTTTAACCAAAATTAGAACTGTGTTCTTCATCTCCCCAAGATGCATTTGGCTATGAAAAATAACGCACCCTATTTGTATTAATTATGAAAGTTAATCTGGAAAAGGTAAACCTCTTCTTTACTGTTAATATTTAATAGCCCAATAGTTATCTTTTCACAGCAAGTTATTGTGATTTACTATTTATTTGACCATAGCACCTAGAGTTCCAAGTCAGAGGCTAAATCTCCACCACATCAAGAGCTGTATAAACACAGAGAACCCCTACTCCAAAAAATTTCCTGAATGTCAGAAGCAAAAGAGAGGACTAACAGGAAACCTAGAAAATCATGCTGCACAACAGGCAGAAGTTCTCACTCCCAAGCAGCCCAATGTTTTCAGTGAGCATCGCAAGAAAAACCTTGGAGAAATTAGAGGATGGTGCAGGAATTGTAAGTATCTGAGGAGTTCCTTTTGAAAATATGAAGGTAACACACATGAAGACACTTATCAGAAACACAGCAAACTGTGATGAAAGGGAAGAGGTCATTGACACCTAAGAGCCTGGAGTCACCACAGTGATAGGTAATGCAAGGTGATGAGTAAGAGGGTGATAGTCATAAATAGTCTCAAAAGTGAGGAAGCAGACAGCCAGGTGGATCACATCTAAAGCAGCAGGATATGAAATGAGGAAGGTGCAAAGCCCAGGCACTTGCAACTGCACCAGCTGGCACTAATGCAGGGGAAAGATGGTAAAGCCAAAGAAATCCCTGCCTGGAATGTTGAGTTCATCATAGGATCATAGAATGGTTTTGGTTGGAAGGGACC